TTGTAAAAGGTGACAAATTTTGGATTTAGAGTTTCATTTTCTTGGTGTTTGATAAAAATTCTATACTCACATCCTTTGGCTGTGGCTTATTTGCCTCACGCTATTAGTGCCAACACTTACCAAAAGGGAATTTTGAAAGGAAAGAAATGCATAACTTGACACTTAGCAAAAGGGAGTTTTGAAAGGAAAGAAATGCATAGCTTTTTTTTTTAGTTAGTCATCCAAAGTTCACCACTATCATGCCTATCTTTTTTCCTTAAATCTCTCCTCTCTCTATATGGGGTTAATTTGTATGCATTTCTTGTATGATGTTCACACACTACATGTGAATTGAGGGTAATACCAAACATAGTGCTTATATTGATTTATTCCGTCTAGCAAGTGGAGTCGAGATTGATTATAAGACAAGTGTCAGTACACTATTTATTATATAAGACACGTGTCAATACACTATTTATTAATTATTGTGGATGAATCTACAAGTTGTTCGATCTGATTGCTCCATTAAAACTGTAAATTAATCGGAGACAATCATACATTTGACCAACAGAAAAAAATCTATATTTTCTATATTAAACTTCATGCCTATTTCAGTTATATGATTTTTCATTATTTTGAACTAATATGAACTATTAGTAGCACCAAACTATAGAGAGGTTGGTTAACCAAAAAAGCAACTGAAAACAAGCCCCCACCAATTTTTAGCAATATTTAAACACAACTAACCATTTACAAAAAAAATCTGACCTTCAACTTACCATTGCCAATTAGCATAAATCACATCGCATCTCAAGTTCTCAAACTCAAGTTCAGCTCACCGTTTTGAAAAAAAAAAAAAATGGCCAAAAGCAGCCCATCTCCGCTAATCCCGCTCCTCTTAGTGGCGGCCACTGGCCTCGTTCTCCGTGGCAACTCCTTTCCGTTGAGCCTCAATCTCCTGAATGCCTCCGAGGCTGAAAACGTAATTTTCACGTGCTTTTTGTTCGTACCTTTTTTGGCGCTCGGTTATACGTTCGTGTTGCCTCTTGCTATACTTTTTGTCGTGTACATGATCTCCACAATGCTTTTTGGTCCTCTTGTGTTGATATTAGCCGCGTATATAGCTACTAAGTGCTCGACTTTTTTTGGAGGGAATGGGGAAGAGCTCGGGTGGGGTTGTTTGCTGCTGCTCGTTTTTTTCTTGCTTCAATGGGTCTCGTTAGACGAGGGGCGATGGTTGGGTCCCGTTTTCTTCGTGGCTGTCATGATCTTTGTGTGTTGTCATGTCGGGTCTTGAGTTTTCGATTGTTTGTAGTGTTTTGTCTTGTGTTTAGTGAAATCTAGTTGGAAAAATAAAATCTCCCAAATCCTATAATGGGAAAGGCATCATATGAATCTTAGTTCCTTTAGGAAATTAGGTTTTATTGAACTTATGATCAAATGCTACAATAATGATGGTGTATAATTCATCTTCTAAATTGGAAAACAAGACATTTATTGCAGAACTAAAATTATTGATTGAATTATTTGGATAAGAAATTACAATGTAGAACAAAATAGTTTCCACAAATCAAACTTAATAATTACATGGAGAACAAGATAATGCATCATAAATATAACCACCACAGATCCACAGCAATACGACAACTTGTGTTGAAAATTAATTGAATAAATTGTCCGAAATTAATTCCCTTTAGAGCTCTATCATTTGCCTCTAGTATTCAGTGGTATCCAAGAGGTGCTGGATATTCCTTCAGCTCATGCCCTTGACACTGTATATCCTGCAAAATCAACAAATTAAAGCACAAAAAGTTAAAAAAAAAAATTAATTTTATTTATCATTAAAAATCATTTCTTTCTTAATATAAATAAATTAAATTATTTTTTTTTCTCACCGATGCGAAGTGATTGAGGTCCCGATGATGCGCCTCATCAGCCCTAATCACCGTGACAACATCCTTCAACGTCGAATTCGGCGCCAGCCGCCAGTAGTCGATCGCAATAGCTGGCGCCGGCCCATTCTCGACAAGTCCCTTTTCCAAGTCAACCAAAAACTCGGTGTACGAGTTGACCGCCTCTTCCTCAAGGTAGCCCACTATCCGGTGGGCCAGCTTGGGAGACGCTAAATAGGCCAAGAAATAAGCGTTGAAAAACACGCCCTGCACGGCAAAGACGAGGGCCCGTTCGTACCATTTGGGCCGGGAGACCTCCAAGAAGGTCATGAGGTGCATGCGCTCGTTTTCGGCCTCCTCAAGTAGGGCTTTGATCCAACCTCCGCTGTGCTCGAATTTCCGGAGGGACCTCAGGTGGAGGAGCATGCCGCCAACCATCCCAGGCACGGCCGCAACTGTCTCTAGGAGCATTGCGTGGCAAATGTGGCGTCTCTATAAAAGTACGAAAAAATAGAATAGTTTAAAGCACGCGCATGTTGTATAAATCGGTTGTCTGACTATCAAAGGTAGGTCTTCTGATAGGCTGTCCAGTGGTTAAACAGCCATACTCTGTCGACAAATATACGTACTTTCATAATTAAATATCGTAATATTTTAAAATACAATATAAACAAAAGTATGGGGAACCTGAAAGAACAAGTATGTGGGGTACTTGAGAGTTTGGACAGTCCAATAGGCAAACTTGTCCATGAATGTGTTGGCCTCATGGTGCTTCTTGACATCAATTGAGGTGTCCGCTTTGTATGTCTCCCATGGCTATTAGATAATTTCCATAATTAAAAAATAAAAATAATTTTAGTTGTGACAAAATTTAGATCAAATTAAAAAATAAATAAAAAGAAAGAAAATTTGCATAACATGCATGACCATGCAATTCTTTAGTACATAACAACAGAACATACCCTGAAACAATTCCACCGCCATGGAGAGCCATCTTCACCGGCTATATTGGGCGGTGCCACCCCCCAATAGCTGCTCACGACGGCCCGATTGCTGCCCTGACTAGCGGTGTTTTCTTCGTCGGAGTTCGGCTTTGGTTCTTGGGCTCGTTCTTCGTGGCTAGCTACCTTACGACTCGTCGAGCTCCAATACCTAACTCCGAGAAACTCGTTGCTAGCGAACTTGGGAATGGAGTTTCGAAAAGTGCCGTTTGTAGTAATGTTTGAGGCCGTCTTGAAGATATCGGTGGAAAATTTTTGTTGTGGGCTTTGCACGATGATCACCCTCGACATCTGCATAACCGCGCGGCGACTCATAGGGAATTTGAGATCAAAACCTTTCAAATGAGTAAAGGGTTTCTTATTTTTGGGGAGAGAAATTGGATGTAAATTTGTGGTTTGATAATTGAAAAATGGTGTGACCAAGAGGGAAATTTGGGTGTCAATTTATGTATGTGTGTTCTTGATGTCCTTTTCATTTGAAAAGTCTTCGAGTTGGTCAAGGGGAAGAAATTCAATTTGGAAAAGTCAAAATTTTTAATATGATGTGTATCCTAGTTGGACCCGTCTTTTATTAGGTTGATTGTAAAATGATAATTGATAGCGTTATGTTCCAAAAAAGTTGCAACTATGTTCCAACGAGTGTGGTGCAAGGAAACTTGCAGACGACTGCTACATCTTTTTTTTTAAATATAGAATTAATAAAATACAAGACCATGTGCCAATAGAAAAGTTATTCATAATCTATTAAAATATAAAAAGAGAAGTTATATCATTATAAGTTTTAAATAATTTTAAAATTGTATATTATTATTTCTATATAAAATAATACTTGTGACTTGTACGATTTATTTCGTGGATATTATAATAATTTTTATAACTCGTATTTTATAACGAACTTCATAGATAAATTTATTTAATTGGTTAAATAGTTTTATTATTTTTCAATTGATAGATAATTAATTTTTATTAAAGGTAAATTTATTTATTTATTTATTTACGCAACATGTAAAATTCCGTCAATAAATGATTAATGTGATATATCATATATGAAAACTCGATAATACATACGAAAGTCAAGCATTTATAATTTTAAAATCTATATATATATATAATAAGAATTAACATTTACCAAAAATAGTAGCAAAAAAATAAGTCAGAATTTAATGCATCCTATATATAGTAAGTTTTATTAATTTTCTTATTTTTTTTCTTTAAAAATCATACAACATTAAATGTTACCTTAAATTTCGGGTTTTAGTTTGTTTTATTATTTAAAAAATCCGGTTATGATTTATTAAATGTGTATGTTTTTATTTTTATTTCTTTTTCTTAGAAACAACGAACAACATTAAAATCTCGGTCTCCATATTTATAAAATCTCAATTCAAAATATAACAAAAGTTTTAGAATCTCGATTTTTATATTTGTGCCGTTAAAAAACATATTGAACGCAAAAAATATTATTTAAATTGCATAATCAATCAATTAATCTTAATTTTTTTAAAATTACTATGTTTATTTTTAATTAATATGCATAAAGTAAAAATAATTAATTCATCTTTAGATATATAATATATAATCTTAATATACTATCATTTGGTGTAGACATTTATTATATGTCATAAAATATTTTTATTTCATAAAATTAAATATATTTAAAGAAAATAAGAAATTTTCTTCGGATCAATCGGGTGATTGAATTAGGGTACTGCCCAGGTTGATTGAATTACTTTTCGGTGATAATTAAAATAGTCAAAAAATTTGACACAACTTGGTTGGTCCCAGGTGACTAAGTTATGTAACAGTTCGACCACATCAAATCGATTATTGAACCTAAATATAAGTTTTATATTGAAAATATGTTATTACATGAATGTGATGTAGTTCAAACTTCAAATAATCGTATTAACAATACTTTTATGACAACATGTTTATGAATATTTATATATCATTTTGTTAATATTTATGTGAATTAAATAATATTTTATTATAATTTTTATTAATGTACAGTAAATATAAGATTTTCAGAACTGGACCGTCATCGAAACGATCAAGCTATTTTATTAAATCATTTGTGGTTTGTTCAGATTTTAATTTATAAACATTTTAATATATATATATATATAGTACTTTTGTAATAAATTTAAATAAAATATGTTACTTAGATATCTAAACAATTTATAAATTCAAATGTTTAAACTAATTGATAAATAATATATAAATCTCTATTTTATTTAAATATGTAATTTTATTTAAAATAATTTTAAATACAAATTTTTTTTTTTAGAAAATCGTATTAATCCTACCAGTCCAACCGACTGGTGTTGACGGATTCCAGAACAAATATTTTATTCAAGCGAACTAGACTGGTTATAAACCGGTTCTTGATCCATCCGGTCGGACTGTGTGCAACCCGGTTTAATTTAAAAAACAATGGATAAATTATGATTAATATTATTTATATATTTAATTTATAATACAATCGTAATATTATTTTCCGCATCGTACGGGCCACGCACTAGTTTTGAATAAACAGAGATATACATTTATATCTATTTGAATTACTTGGAAGCACTATAAATTGACAACAAATCGTCAATTAGAATTTTAAATCAATAAAATAGAGAAGATATGTGTATTATATACATATTTATATTTTGAATTAAATATATATTTGAAAAATCAAATATAATATTTATAAAATATTTATTTAAATTGAATATTATTAAGTTTATTTAAAATGACATAATTTCTTTATTGAGTTAATTTTACGTGTTGCACAAGGTTTGTTAGTCAAACATGATATTTTACACATAAAGATACGTAAATAATTACTATTCTAAAAAGGTAAAAAATGTTGAATGAAAGAAATAAATAATTTACTTACAATTTTTATATTTTAATGATCGTTACGTGTCTTACCATAAATATATTTAACATATAATTATATAAATTATTCTATTAAAAAACTTAAAAATATTTTAAAAAAAATTCAGCCAAATGGTTGTTCGACCTGTAAAACGGTTCAACTATTAAAGCCAAAGTTGATCAATCCGATCTCCAACAAAATAACTAGATATAATATATAAATGCAATAAATAATAAAAATAATATTAATACAAGAATAAATACGTTAATAATAAATGGCTACAATCCCTACAAAACTATTTCGTTGAAATTTTTAACCGTTAGATGCACAATTTATACTAATCTATATGTAATCGGTTAAAAAATCTCAACGATTGTTAGCATTTTCCATAAATTTAAATGATATAAAATATTTCTCCTTTTTTGTGAACCATTAAAGACAAAATGCAATACTCCATCGTGAAAACCTCGAAATCAGGTACAAGTACCCCAAAGCGTCGCGTACAGCTCATTAGCCGCCTACTTTTCAAATCTTGAACTTACGTTTTTTTGCAGTAAAAGACAATTTTCAAATAATCATCAGCAAATGGAGACCGAAACGACGCCGCTGTGACGACTCTGAAGCAGCTCGCCGCCTCCGTTTGCTGGAATTTCAGCTTTCACGGCCACCTTTGCCGCAGCATTATCGTCCGGTCAGTTCAAATTTCATTTTCTTCAGCATTTATCTGTGTATCCATGTCTTTATGTGCTTCTTCTAGTTATTACTCTGCTGAAAAACGTCCGCACTTCGATCAATTTTTGGATTTCAGTTGCTTCGCGTCAATCCCCAAATCCACATTCATCTTGCAGTCTTCAATGGCTAATTAGTCTAATTTGTTTTTTGGAATAGATTAATGAATTTCACTTCGGCTGCCCTCATTTTAATGATTCTGCAAAATTGGGGAAAATTAAGATGCAGCTAATGGTACTGGAGTTGATATTTGTTTCCTCTCTTTGCAGTGTATGATTTGATTCTCCATCGACTGAATGTCGTTGCTGAGTAGATTCTTTTACAAGAGGCCACCAGATGGCCTGCTCGAACTCTCTGATAGGGTTTATGGTAATTCAGTAAATATCATTTGAATCATCCCGTTGGAAACATGTCAGCATTTTTGTTTCTGCACTTGCCTGCTCATTGAAAAAATTACCGTGTGATGCAGTTTTTGACTCTTGTTTCTCGACCGAAGTGCTCCCTGATGGAATATACCAGCTTTATTTGCACGAAATCATCACCGAGCTGCATGAAGAGTTTCCAGATTCCTCGTTTCTAGCATTTAACTTCCGAGAAGGTGAGAGAAGGAGCCAGTTTGCTGAGATACTGTGCGAATATGATGTCACGGTTATGGATTACCCGAGGCAGTACGAGGGGTGCCCTTTATTGCCTCTATCTCTAATCCACCATTTTCTTCGGGTTAGCGAGAGCTGGCTTTCTCTTGGGAATTGCCAGAATGTGGTCTTGCTCCATTGTGAAAGAGGGGGCTGGCCACTGCTTGCATTTGTATTGTCCAGCTTCTTGGTGTTCAGGAAGTTGCAAAGTGGCGAGAAAAAGTGCCTTGAAATGGTCTACCGTGAAGGCCCAAGAGGCTTGCTGCAGTTACTTTCGCCTTTAAACCCGTTTCCATCTCAGCTTCGGTATCTGCAGTATATATCACGAAGGAATATATCTCCAGAGTGGCCTCCTCCAGAGAGGCCCCTGTCATTGGACTGTCTTATTCTCCGCGCAATTCCAAGGTTTGATAATCAGAAAGGGTGCAGGCCCCTTGTACGCATTTTTGGTAGAAATCTCCTCAGTAAGGATGGGTTGTCAACCCAAATGCTGTATTCCATGCATAAGAAGGGTAGACATGTCCGTCATTATCGCCAAGTGAGAACCTTTTGTTATCTTTGTTTGTTTTGGTTTCTTGAGAACTTTATGTGTTTTCTTTAGCATTGATGGGAAATGCTTGACATTATCATGCAGAAGGACTGTGATGTGATAAAGATCGACATACAGTGTTTGGTGCAAGGAGATGTGGTGCTTGAGTGTGTCCATCTGGACTTGGATCCAGAAAGGGAAGTCATGATGTTCCGCATAATGTTCAACACGGCTTTTATCCGGTCTAATATTTTAATGCTCAACTGTGAAAACTTGGATATCCTTTGGGACTCGAAGGCTCGGTTTCCCAAAGGCTTTCGAGCTGAGGTCTCTCTCTCTCTCTCTCTCTCTCTTTCTCTCTCTCTCTCTCTGTGTGTGTGTGTGTATATTGTTTTATTGATTAAGAGGTGAAAGTTGTGCAAATTACCTATTATTGGTCTAACTTTTTCATGAATTATTTGATTTTGCAGGTGCTCTTTGGGGATGTCGAGAGCACTTCACCTGCCAAAAACCACACATCCATGTTAAACTGCGAGGAGAAAGGTGGACTCCCCATTGAAGCTTTTTCCCGGGTGCAGGAACTTTTTAATGGTGTGGATTGGATCGATACTGGTGATGATGCTGCTTTATGGTTACTCAAACAATTGTCGGTTTTGAATGACGTCAAAGACTTGACAATGTTGCGGAGGATGAGTGGCTACGGGTCGCCTATCGACTCAGAGGAGGAAAACAACTCATCTAGCATTGCCGACAGTCTCGATTTTCTGGACTCGGAGAAGGCCAGTGTGCCGGAGTTTTTGCTGGATGACCGTTCATCAGTGGATTCTATATTAGAGGAAGTTTCAGATCTCAGACCTTCTGTAGACTCGGTGAAGCCAATACCGACAACCATGAATGATCCCAACCAGTCTGTGATGGATAGTGATACCCAGTCGGATTCTCTTGCTTTATCTGAATCATTGAAAGAAATGAAAATTTCAGCTAATACTCCGCCCTCCTTGCAGCCAGCAATACAACCATCTGATTCCACTACCTCTCAATCAAAATCACCACCTCCCACATCTGATTTAAACAACTCTTTACCTATTGTTCCACCCGTAACTACTCTGACTCTGGTTTCTAATGAAAGATCTTCTCACCCACCTCTAATGGACCGTGAGGAAGGGCTTTCTTTCTCTTCTATCAATGATTCCAGTAACACACAATCAATTTCAACTCCTTCTCCTCCAGTTATTCCTAGTAATGTTCCTCCTCCTCCCCCACCTCCACCACCGCCTCGTAAAAATTGTAATGTACCTCCACTATCACCTCCTGAACCGCCTGTTGGTTCTGAAGGCAGTGCACAAGTAAGTGGTCCCTCTTCTCATCCTCCACCACCACCTACACCACCTCCCCCCTCGCTTCCAGTGAGTTCTAATAAAGAAACCATTCCTCCTCCC